GGGGGGTTGGAACGAGATGGTCTTTAAGGTCCCTTCCAACCCAAACTATTCTGTGATTCTCTGACCTGGCTGCTCACAGGGCTGCTGCTCGCACATTTTGCATCACTCCTCACCACCATGAGGCATTTTGCCCCTTCTTAAACCTGTTACCATAGAGGCATCGCCATGACCAGCTTGACCATATGTCAAAGCAGCGTTGGAGTATGTCGCTTGGTCGAGCTGCCGTGCGTGTCGAGACACTCCGTGACATGCAGTTGGGATGGTGGGGGTTTGTGGATGCAGTTAGCATGGGCTATACCAGGAGGTGAAACGGGGATTAAGGAGGGTCCTGCAGTTTTAGCAAAGTCTTCAGAAATCGCTGTTTACAGGCGAAGTTGCACTCTGCAGCTTGAGGTGGCAGGTGCCTGCTTGCAGCTGCTGAGGCAAGGAAGAGGCACCATCTTCCAGTGCCACCCCAGCTCTGTCCGATCCTGCCCTCAGCCACTGTGCTCCCTACCCTGCTTGGAAAAGAAGAAGGTGGGGGGGGGAAGGTGGCTTTCTGCCATGTTAAGGGACTGAGTCTGTTCCACAGAGGCTCTGATGCCCCCAGAGCTGCTTGTAGGGGTTTGGGTGCCAGTGGCTGGGGGCAGGGAGGGGTGGCAAGTGGGACGAGGGGCAGAGCAAGGCCCCCTGCCCTCTTCAGTATCTGCGAGCTGCCGGTCTGGCCCGGCTATAACGTGCAACTGCACCCATAGCATTTTATACGTTAGGGAAATGCATTTAAAGATTGTCCTCTTTTGGGGTCGCTGAATCTGTATCCCTCCTAGATCAGGGAAACTCAGCCCTCAGTTCATCAAAAGCTTAGTGGTTAAACCACCTTACGGATGTCGTCCCCCCCTCCCGCAAGGACATACTCGTGGATGTGTCCAGAATATGAAGATGCAGATCCGCCTCCAGCCCGACTGGGGACGTTGGTTCAGTGTCTTGGGTTTGAACGGGTTTTTCCTCTCACTGTTACTCCTGTCTGTGGCCCAGAGGCTGTCGCTGCCCCCTCTATAGGTCAGGTTCATCTTTGGGGTGGTCGATCAGAATTGCGTCTGAAACGCGGCCTTAGCGTGACCTGCGCGCTGAGTGGCATCACGGGTGGACTCTGTTAACTCCCTCCATGGAGTTAAATGTTTTAGTGCTTTATAGGGATATGAGAGCATCAAACACTTCTCACTTGAGCACAGCGGTGTTTCAAAATGACCCTCGGATCACGTATTGCGAAATTCTCTTCTACAGCGAGTGCCGAAGAAAAAGATGAACGTTCAATCTGTATACCTAGTTTTATCCATCTAAGTCTGGGACCTAAATCCAGAAGACACAACTGTATTTTCATGAAACTTCTTTTATTGATTATTAAAATGTTACGTGATATATTTTTTTCATTTTTGCTGAGTCTTTCAGGCCTGAATGTCACTTTGGTTTCTTTGCTGACTTTCACTTTTAGTGATTAGTTTCTTGCCAGGCATAGGCCAGCCTGTGCAGGTTTCCAGATACTTACAGGCTGTAGGATTTTTATGTCCATCCACATCTAAAGTGAAATTAAAGGTTGTTATTTGTATACTTAAAACTGTATCTGTTAATTTTGATTTATGCCTAAACAGCTTTCAGGAAAACTAATGTCAACGTATGGTACATTCTGTAGGTTTGGTGTGTCAGCTGTTCGGTAATATCCAGTGCTATGACCGTGTTATAAACCTACAAAAATCCATTTATTAAAAAAATAAACCATAAAAATGGTTCCAAATTGTCACATACCTGAATGAATGCCCAGGGGGCCGGGGGGAGCCCTCTATTGCCCTCATTTACAGGCAAGCCAGATGGACTTTATTCATTTCAGGAAAAAAGGGTACTCAAGCAGAAACTGTGCTTGTCATGTTACAGTCTGCGCTGAATTTGTGGGGCCAAGGCCATTGAACCTGGATTTGTAGTAGGAGCACCAATTATCCTATAATTTAGATTAACATGACACATTCCTTGCTTATCTGATGTTGTGTCCTCATGGGCGTGATTTGGTTATTTTTCCAGGCAAGCCAACGTTTATGAAAGCTCCTGAAGATCAGATTGGGATTTCTGGAGGAGTGGCCTCTTTTGTGTGTCAGGCAACAGGAGAGCCCAAACCTCGTATCACATGGATGAAGAAGGGGAAGAAAGTCAGTTCTCAGCGGTTTGAGGTAATTAAAAAAAAAAAAAAATTAGTAATCAATCTAATGTTTGCAGGTCTTAATTACCCAATAATCGTGACCGCAACCCAGCTACATCACTACAATACAGAGTCTAGGGCTTTAGAGTAAAGTACGCTTCCTTCCCTGTAGCAGTGCAACCTGGAGAGCAGGCGCTGTCCTTGGAACATGATGCTGGAAGCACACACAGAGGAGATCCTTCTTCAGATGGGAGACTGGGGTTTACACCAACTTGGGTGGCAGATGAGAGTTGGATCTAGCAGTAATTTTCTGTTTCCAGTGTGAAAATTGATAAGGCACCTCCTTGGCCTGCTGCACCCAGTGAAATTCAGAAGTAGGATGCCAAAATGCTATTGGGAGGCTTTCTAAGTGACAGCTACTGCCACCTCCCCCACAAATGCCTTTGGAAGGGGAATGGCGAAGTCATCTTGAGGGGTAATTTGATTTCCCTGTGAACTAAAGTCTGTGTGAAAGGAAGAGGGGAAGACCAGGTATCAGAAATGCTTTTGAAAAAAGGTCCAATTTGATACATATTTTAAATAGGAAACACATTTTCACTGACTTTCTCCACCTTTTTCTCCGCTTTCCTTTTTCGGATTTGGGTTCTTTTCTTGAAAATTGCCCTTGGAAATGTGACCCTTCTACTATTCTGCAGCCTTTCCTCTAATCCCCGGTCTTTGATGTTTTTGCTTTTCTGACTGAAGCACAAGATGACTTTGCTGCCCAGAATGGATTGATTCAAGTCACCAATTTTAATCATGAGTCTGTATGTGAGCAGAAAACTTTGATTGAAGTAATCAATTTTAATCTTGTTTTACATTGTTATTTTTCCCCAATAAAGGTTAAGTTTTCTTGTATAGTAACCATTTAAACATTCTGATTTGTAAGTAAATATAACCTTATAGTGAATTTGTTACTTATTGTGGCTGACCAGAGGGCTATGCCATATTATATGCATTTATATAAGCAATTTCATACCTTTATTCACATCAGTTTTTATACATAGTTGAGGTATTTTTATTGTTATGAGACAGTAAATAATATCTTTCTTATTTTCCTAGATAACTATTCATTTTACCTCATTACTAAGCTAGTCTTTGTTTAGAGGAAAATTGTAATTCGACTGAAATAATAAAAAAAAACCCCAGACCATCCAGAACTGATGTATGCATGCTGAGTTACCACACAAAAGTGGTATTTGTCATTAGCAACTGAACAGCACTGTTCGTTTTGGTGTCTGTCGGGTCCTTAGTCGTTGTAGCCCCCTTCCTCTCTCACAGAGTGTTTGTTCAAAGGATAGTAAGGGCAAGAGAGCTTTTCTGCTGTTTCACCTCTTAGCTTTTTAGGTCCTTATCGCTGAAGTGAATTAACCTCTGCATCTGACTTGGTCTTGTTTTAAAATTGGGCAGTAGTCCTGTCCTACCCTAAGGTTATAGAAAGTTTAGCGTTTTGTCACAGTTTCATATTTAATTTGAAATTGAGTATTTAATTTCTTTTTTAATTCCTTAAAAGGTAATGTGGTGATGTTCACATTTCTCTGCCCAGTCTGCTGCTACTTGACTCCAAATTAGGGTTTTTTTGCAGCTGTTTCTATTACTTAGAACAGAAGGGATATTCCTTCCAGCATGAGGAGTAACAGATTTTTCTGGTGGTCTTGGTTACCTTTTCATTTCTTCCTGTTTCTCCCACCACTGCAGAGTCTCGTGGTGCACCTTTTTTTTTTTTTTTTTCCTTCTCCTTCCTGTTTCCACTCATTTGGTCGTTAGGCTGTGAGAAGCATCCCCAAACAGGGCTTTTCATGGGGGTAATGCAGGTCCTAGACTGACATATACGTGTCTGGAACAAAGTATAGCTCCGTCTCTTCATCTGCCCCTGCAGTCAGTTCCCAGGTGACAGGAGGGGGGCTTGTGCCTTTCCCTCATGCTGTCACCATCTGCAGTAGAGTTAATATTTCCAGCTTCTGCTGTGCTCAGTAATAGGAGAAGGATGAGTTTGGCATTAACAGTGGCCCGAGGCTGTGCCTTCACAGCCTTGCTATTACGGAATAGCTCGTACTGATCCAGCTGCAAACTAACAAATACCTCTTTCTTCCATGTAGAAGTTAGGGTAATGCATGTTACAGCATAGCAGGATGGATGGAAAGGCAGTGATTTATTAAGGCCTTAATTTATTATGCTGGGGAAGGAATCGTAATTACATCATTGTTGATTATGGCAGAGTTGTAAAGTACCCGCTGCTGAAGGACATTAAAACCCCTCACTTTCTGCTGGAGTTAGCATGCGCTGTAGGTCCTCAAGGTTTAATTCTCATTTTGTTACTATTTTCCTGGTAATCCCACAGGAGTATATCATTCTGCTCTTCCATCAAGGTGAAAGTTGGCACTAAATTGCTATCAGTGTGATTAGTAAAACCATTAGTGCAAATATGGCTCAGATGTTTTAAATCATCAGATCCACATCTTTATTACCAGGTTAATAATTTGTCAACCTTAATTGATTCGTAAAGAACCTCATTGGGTCTTCATTTGTTCTGGCCTCCTCAGAGGACAAGTAAGTTTTTGACTCTGGAATTTTTGCAATTCTGGACTTGGAACACTTGACTAATTGCATAGTATTTTATATCTTGCAGGGCTTGTTCCGGTTTGGTTTTGATTTTTAACCCCTGGATTGTTTTGACTTTTAGTTTTTGTTGCAGAAGATAGCAGTAAAGAAGTGCTTTCTTTTCATTGTTAAAGGTTATTGAGTTCGATGATGGATCGGGATCAGTTCTGCGGATACAGCCCCTGCGTGTTCACCGAGATGAAGCTATCTATGAGTGCACAGCCACCAACAGTGTTGGGGAGATAAACACCAGTGCCAAATTAACAGTGTTAGAAGGTAAGTGAGAAGGCTTTTCATGCCTTAGGTGGCAGAAGACATGGCTTTGGCTGTGGTAGCTACATGCTGGTGTGGTGGTTTTAAATGGCATGGTGATATTCTAGCTTGGTTTGGAAAAGCTGTGTTCATCCTGTATCATTTATGTGTAATTTTCTGTTAGTGATAGAAGCTGGTATTTCTCAGACAGTCATGAAAAGGTGGCAAATTCTGAACTTGCTTTGAAGTGTGGTGGTTGTATTGTCCGAGGTGTCTGACTCTGAGGGCTAGGTAGAGAGACATTTGTGTGTATTTCTCATCTGTCTGCTTTGATAGAATACCCATCTTCAGGGGATCTTAAGAATTGTGTCTGACAGTCAGAAACTTAATCCATGTGGCTGCACCTTCTGGTATAAATTGGCACACTTGAATAGATTTTCAGGTTACTCTTCAGATTTTGAGTTGGATGTGGAATTTAGGTGTGTTTACTTTTCACTGTAGTCACAACTTGGTACTCTGTTTCTCCTGTTAAAGATTTGATCCTTGCCTGCTATATGAGCAGGTTTTATTTTGCTTGCTATGTTGTTTCTTCTAAGTGGAATGTTTTGTGGAAGAACAGTGTATTAGGTACAAAATCTTGTGATCAGTCGATGATTTTTTTTTTTAAATATGAATATAAAATAAGGGATATGTTTGCTTTTAAGGAAATGTGGGTTTTTTTCAGCACATCAATGTGTTGTAGTATTTGTTCATATAGGATTTTGTAAATGTACTGAGATGTTACAAATCCAGGGCATTTTGGCTGAATCCTTGGGCTTTCTTTACTTGTTTTTCCTAAGACAAGCAGGAAAAGGCTTAGGCACATTGCTTGGTGTATATGTATTGATGCAGAAATTTTTGAGTAATGAAAAAACTGGACTGAAAAGTGTTTATTGTTGCATGATTTTGAACCAGCGGAGACTGGTTATCCGAATGGTGAGTGTGCCAGCCATACATGACAAGTTACCTATTGTCCCTTGTTCTCCCATCCCCATTCACAACGTAGAGGTAATCATATTTTCCTCTCTGCTCCGTGACAAAGAATGCATTAAACAACTGTAATGTGCTCAGACACTGTGGTGATGGGAATCATAGAAATCATTCAATACTTGATGTGATTGTGTGTCTTGTTTCTGGAGGTGGGGCATCTTAAAGGAACAGCTTGCTCTTCAGTAGTAGCATTACTGAGAATAGGATAACAGGTGCTACAGACTTGAAAATTATTGCGGGGAAAAAAGCAGATCTTTTTTGTCACTTCTTGCCTTTGCAGCTGTGTATGTGAGTGCATAAAGCTCACTGGAGCTCTTTCAGCAGTTTACGTGCAGATCTGCATTTAAATGCTTCCTGCAACTGGATTTTTGTGATACTAGATACTTGAATACCCAACTGTTCCAGGCACATTCCTGTTTCCTTTGGTAGCAGTTGCCTTAATGCATCCTAGATATGTATGCACATGCACACACACGCTAATAATTTATTTGCTCTGTGTTAAATGTTCAAAGGCCGACAGGGACATGCATTGCATAAAGGAGCACAACAGTATTTCACAGCTCCGTGGTGCTCCTGCTGATTTCCTGATGAGGTAAAACTTGCAGACCACCACATAAATAGAGAATGTTAGGAAACACCACAGACAGGAAAAGACATGCATGCACACTATTTAGGAGCCACAGAAGCAAAATTCACCACCAGTTGGGTACAGGGCCCACTTTTCTGTTTGGAAACTTCCTTTAATCCGGAGTGATGCTAGTTTAATGTGATCCCATAGGGTCAAAAACGATCTGCAGGCTGGGGAGCTGTGATTCCCTCTCTAACTGAAGAGTTTTGTCCCCCTTGCTGGGGACTCTCGTAATGAGCCAAATGAAGAAACATTTGCTGTGTAACAGTCTATATGTGCTCATGCATATAGAGTTGTGAGCTTGATTACAGGGGCTGAAGAGCTACATGTGCCTCTTACCTTGGCTTAACTGATGAAGAAGATGAGTTCTGTTACGATGTGTCTGTATTTAAGTAAAAACTATTTATATTTCTGTTTTCCAAGATGTTCTACACACAGGCCTGTATTATTTTCAGTGATGCTATCTTACTGTTCTGTTATCTGCCTTAGATTGAGCTGTTTCTGGATTTAGGGAGTGTGATTTTTTTTTTTTTAAATAATTATTATTTTTGATATTCCTTTGTTTGCTTATATGTTGGCAAAGTGGATGGTGCAACTCAGTGCCCTGGTTGTGGTTGTGTTGAGTCTCAACGGCCTCCAAAACATAGTGGTAACCTCTCTGTTATGCCATCGCTTTCCTAACATGAACTTTGTAGAGGTATTTGAAAATGACACATTTCTTATGGAACCCTTGATACCCTCAAGACTGTCAACTAGGAATGGATTTTCCCTCTGCTTCTGGGGTTAAAATAATTTCTGTAATTGCTCTCAGGTGGCAGTTTGAATGATGCAGACATTCTGCACTTCCTTTCAGGAATTTGACTAATGCAGTGGTCCCTGGTGCATGACAAACTCTATCATAGACGTCCTCATGGTTACATGCTGCTAAATACACAGCACATATTGATTTTTACATTAAAAATCCGTTACAACAATAAGTTTTAATGCTTCTTCACAATTTGCTCTTTAGAACATAGGCCTTAACATTAAATCCAGAAGTCCCAGTCAGGGTTTAGCAGGCTGTTATTAGATGTCTTTGTACCTGACTAATCTGGAGCTTTATTTTATTTAGTTTTCTGCGATGTTTTACAGATCAGAGGCAGATAATCCTTTCTAATTGCTAACCTATTCCATTCTGAATATTAAGAGAGAAGCGTGAGTCCAGTCTCCTGGAGGAATCAGTGAATCTCTTTTAACAGTTCAGTTCCCTACTATCCTTTCATTCTCTGCTCCCATGTCTCTCATTTTTCCCTTCTAACCGCAAATCCTGTTGTGACCAAACTACGTATACTTAAATGTAACTGAAAATTATTTCTCCTGTTGATAGTAGGAGAAATAGACGTGCATATACCTTCTCTTCTCATTTCTCCTGGGTAGCTGATAAGCTGAATTATGTATGAGTCATATTGAACATTTCTATCTTTTTTCCAATTATGACCTGAAGCAGCACAGAAGTACGTTCCTGCCTGCCTGGCAGAGGAGGAAAGCAGTGCAGGGAGGGGAAGGCTAGAATCAATAAGCTGACACACATTCCTAAGAAAAGCCTCGGGGACAGTTAGTGGCACTAACAAATTAATAAATATATTATCCAGCGGTAAAGTTGAGAATTACAGAGCTTTTTAAATAGGGAGATTATATGAAATGTGAGTAGGAAGGATGCCAGTGTGGAAGAACGTGGCAGGAAGCTGATTGCAGGAGTGTCTGTGGTGTCTTTCTGCAAGACTCCTTGTATGTTCAGCACTGCGGCTGTGTAAGGAAAGGTGACGATAACAGTGCTTGTCTCGAGTTGCCTCTAGACCTTCAGTCTGTGCTTTCCAGCAGTCTCCACCCAACAAGAAGATAGGGAAAAGCAGTGCAAAAAAAAAAAAAAAGGCTTCAAGGGTCAGGAAGGAGTATATCAACTCTATGGGAAAGGAAGAAGGCTCAGATACGAAGTATGTTATCAGTCCCTTCTCCCAGGACTTTCCAACTGGGACACTCAGTTACAGGTTTTGATTTCCAGAACGGGGAAACGATTTAATCGTAGCTGTTCCTTTAATGCTCTGCAAGCAGTCCTTTTTTCACTCCCCTGTAACCCAGAGCATACAGTCGTATCCAAGTGACACTGAATATATTCAGAGTTTCATTTCCCTTTGTTTTTAAGTAGGTTAAATGAAAATGAAAATACCATCTCCAATTTCCATTTCCAGCACAGATCTATGCAAATCCCCTATGCCCTATCCCAGGCTCCTAATCATGTGGCGTGCAGTTATCTGCCTGGAGAGCACTGCCAGGCTCTGCAGGAGAGCAGCTCCTGGTAAAGAGGACAGACGGAAGAGCCGGGGAGGGGTTGCTTGCACGCTGGGTTTCACTCTCAAGGTAACCTGGCAAGTTAAGTTTTACAGCCTGGCTTTGTGCTGACAGAATTCAGGGTAGTAGGGGTGTGTTTCAGTGGAGCCCTGGAAAGTTCCCCAAGTGCAGCAGTTGTCCCCGGATGGGAAGCACCTCCACCTTATCCTAATTTGCTGTTTACTGAACCATGTCATGAGCTTAATTTCTTTCACCATCTGCCAGCTGCTTTCCAGTTCCTGGGGTTACACGGTTTGAAATGCTGTAAATGACAAACGTTTGACTGTTACAAATGATTTCTGCAGAGAGCTAGATCTCGGAAGGCCTGGGACAATATGCCCTTTCTGTAAACACTCTTCCAAAAGTGATTTTGTCATTGGAATAGTAAACAGAAGTTAGCTGTGTTTAATCCTTGTTTACGTATGGTTAGTTACAAAAGGATCAGTTGGATCATTGTACTTTGGCTCATGTTTGTCTTCATTGCTTTTGCATCTTTTTGCCAAGAAGAATTTCTAGGAATGTGTTATAAAATTGAAACAATTATGGAAGGGAAATGGAATCCATTTGCATGTGCTCATTCTGTCTGAGTAAATGAATTAAGGCTCCCTGTACCCTGCTGCCTCTGAAATTGGTAGTAGTCTCTTCATGTGTCTGCTCGGGAGAGGACAGGTCTTTCCTCTACCTGTTTCATGTTCGCCAACTCTTCCAACTTCCTTTAGTCTCTCTCTGGGAAGAAAGGCTGCTGTGATGGCAGAGGTCCTACTCGTGTTCTTTGCTCTCTCCACAAACAATCCAGAGAATAACTCCCCGCCTCACGTAGAAAGGAAGTAATGAACCTCTGTAACCATTGGGTTTCTGAGAGCTGCAGCACAGTGAACCTCCACGTGCTCTGCTGCTCGGCGAAATGTCCCAAAATGACAGTGTTGCACAGAGAAATGAGGAAGCCTATGTTTGTTTTGTGTTAGCTGATGGCATATCCCATGCTTGTTAAAAAGGGAAA